TGATCCATATTGACATGAGTTACTGCAGTTTATCAGGCAGGATTGTTAATGAAATGTTTGTGGAATGTAGTGTTATGAATGCAGTGTTGGATGTTGAAATGCTCAATTTGCAGGGCAACAACCTTTCAGATGTTGATGGTAAATTATTGGCAGAAATAATCATAGTATTGCATAAGCCTATTATCCCTTTTATTTGGAGTGGTTATTTTCTTACAGCTGATAACCTAGAAAAGCTGGTCGAATCAGTAGCTGAAGAAAATATAACACTAAATTGGCAAGTGATAGATTTGAGTAATATTAACCTATCTTCAATCAGTGGAAGAACATTAGCCTGCCTTGTTAAGATTTCTCCAGACCTGGTCCATATTGACATGAGTTACTGCAGTTTATCAGGCAGGATTGTTTATGAAATGATAGAAGAATGCTGTGAGATGAATGTAGTATTGGAAAAGTACATGCTTAATCTGGGGGGTAATGACATTTCAGATATTGTAAATCACTTGTAGCAAATTTGTTATGACTATAACTAATGAATTGTGTAAAACAAACATACACCACATGCTTATAACATTCTGTATATATGTATCAATCAAATTAAGCAATCACATGCTGTTATGTTATACATAAATAGGATAACTATACGTTACAATGCAACTACAAAATAATATACAACCAATGCATTCAGTTTTATGTGATTAATATTTGTTTATTTACCATAGTATCCTTTAAAATTAAGGCAATTGACAAAGTATTGGTACTGGACCCCTATTACACCTTTATGTACACTATGTTAATATATGCGTTGGTATGTGTGTGTGTGTATATTATACTGTATATATTTTTCGTTGTAAGTTGTGAAAAAATGGCGAACCTCAATTTTGTACATTTTTGGTTGGTCAGGTGTGGCCAACACAATTTTTTTTTTTTGGCCTTAAAAAATGTAATTAATGTGTTTCATTAAGTAACTTTGCACTATCAGATTTACTTTGCTAGTAAGTTATATTACATCGGTCGTTTATATCAAATGAATAATTACATACTTATGATTAACTACTGTAGATTATGTTCTGGTTATAGCAACTGTGCACCTCTGTGTTAAAGCCAGGCTTCAGAGTAATTATTATTATTATTATTTTTATTATTATTATTATTATTATTATTATTATTATTATTATTATTATTATTATTATTATTATTATTATTTTATTATTATTATTACCAAATCATGCCAACAACCACAGTCCAGGATTGATTGGATTATTGACTTGCTAAAAAGAAAATTTTATGATATTACGCTTATTCAAGTGGGGCGCATATTCAAATGGGGCGCATATTCGCGCAAGTACGGTACTCGAAATTGGTTAATGTGATACAACATAACAAACATTTTTGCCTCCAGAGTCTGCCTTTAAAATATTATGTTATCTACTGTATTTTTTGCAGTTTGTAAATTATAACCCTATATAACCTTAATCTTCAATATACTAGAAACTACTGGATATTTTAATAGATTTGAAAACTGCAGCTGTACATAATTTATTTTTTTGATATTGCTTTCAACAACTGTATAAGATTGATTTGCTTGATTATTCAAATAAAAATGTTATAAAACTATTTGTATGTATGTACTATGTTTGCATTGTTGTGTGTCTATTTGCACGTGCTTACCTCTCTCCATTGGGGGCACGGTTCAAACCGGTTCACTGAGCCCAGTGCGCCTCCCCCCCCCCCCCCCCATTATGTTCATCAGACAGGCCTAGATTCCCATCGATCGACAACGAATTCGTCAACTTACCTATCTCCATAACATATTTTTGATTGCCAGTCTCTGTATATATTGTGGTCTAAAAGCACAATTTTGGGCCATACTAAGCCAGCCATGAAAACTCTCCTTTTAAACACTAACAGGGAATATATTCTAGGACATGACTGAGGCTACAATTGCCCTGTTGGTTCGTACCTCATGTTGACCCCCCTGTCAAAAAAAATCCTAGAGCGATAAAATGTGTGGGACCTGGAGTAACAGTTGATGAACACATAAAGTATTTAATTAAAAGAGCAAACCTTTGGAGGTGCTAAAGCAATCCTGTCAAGGGCTGATAAACAGAATTGATGATGATGGATAATTGGATGACTGGATGGATGAATGATGATGGAGGGGATGCGATAGATGGAAGAATGATGGAGGATGATGTGATGGATGAGGATAGATGATGATGATTATGGTGGATATAAAATGACGGATGGATAATGGATGAAAAATGAAGTATGTATGAAAAAATATGCAGGAGTAATGTTGGACGGAAGAATTTAATTCAATTCAATACAAATTTCTTTATTGCAATCACATAAAAATACAAATTGAATTTTCAAAAAAATACTATAAGATTTGGTCATATCAAAAATACATAAAAATTTAAAAAGAGCGGACAGGTCGAAAACAAGCAGACATGATTACTTTTGATTTATTTTAAATTTATTTCCCTATTTCTGGTTTCATGCATTAATTTATTATTTATTTTTTAAATGTTTTTGAATCATCTACTACAAACTTGGTTAATCGATATTTGAGGAGAGCGTTCTTTAAGGCATTTGTATTTTTCTTTAGCCTACTCTCTCTCTTCATTTTCATTAACTTCGTTTTAAAACTGCTTATTTAATAATATGTTTATATTACAATTTATCCTATTTAACTTTCTCAATTTTTTATGTTGATTTGATTGTGAAATAAAACATTAAAATGAAATGAAAGACACCAGCAACAATAAAAGAAAAGAAAAAAAAAATGAAACTTCGAAGGAACCCTTGATCAAGTTCATAGAGTCAATTACCATTCTTTATAAATACCATAATTTATTATAATTTTTTTGTATCTGTTTGTATTGACTGATAGGGTGTTGAATTCTTTGTCGATGTCGGAGGTTGTAATTGTTGTCAGGGGGAAGGGGTAGAAGGAAATTCAGTCGGTCTCTGTCCTTGAGTTTTCAGTCGGTCTCTGTTCTTGAGTTTCGCATAATTCAACTACATGCTCTTGACTGCACATTTCAATTTGTTTCTATTATTAAAGATTTTGTTGTTTTGAGTCAGACCAGTGTACCATGGAGCAGAAAAAAAAATATAGTGGAGGTTGTAAGTTTGTAAGCCTGGTCTACGCAAGCTTAAGGAAATATGTCCACACAGGGGCAATATTGGTATATCAACATTATCAAAAAAAGCAGAGGTATATCATTACATTAGCCATAGCTCAAAAAACTCAACCTAGCATTGGTAAAGCAACCCAAAAGCAAATTATAGCATCGTTATATGCTATAGTAGATTGTCTGATAATTATGCTACATATTGATACCGATATTGGTCTGATGTAGCTGGTTGTAGAAGTTTCTAATCCTAAATTATCCTATCCATTGATATTTAAAAATAAATATAAAAAATAAATATTTAAAAGCATTTTAACTGATACTTGCTTTGCAATATTTTTATGTAACTGCTATAAAACTGATACATGTTCATGTATCATTTAACTGCTACAATGAATGATATTTGCAGTTGTATAGCTGCTATTTTTCAACTGATACATCTGATGTATTTCTACAGCAGGTTATAATAGCTCCCCCTCTCTCTGCTATATATCTGATACATAATGCATACTCTCTCAAAATATCTGATTTTTACATTCCTATAGTAGTAATTGTATGTGTAGGAACAAGCTATGCCGTGAAGCTATATCAGCTATGTTTGATAGTAAAAAAAACAAATTAATATGTGTGTCCTTCAGTTGAAATGACACTGGCACAGCATCAAGGTTGCTACTGTATTACACTTAAGTCACTTAAGTAC